TATACGCCGCAATTTATTGGGATACCCTGTATATTTCAAAATATTTTTAAAATGTAGCTTTTATCAACTTCCCAACTAATTCATGTAAAAAACGTTTTAAATCATTTACCCTTTCGCTGTAATTTTCGTTCCCGTTAGTAGTAACTCACACTATATTTTTATAAAATCTTTTATTTAAAAAATTCTTTATAAAAGGTAGATATATTTTAAAATTGCCCTTTCGGATTACATCCCAAAAACTTTTCCGAAGGGATGTAACCCGAAAAGTCAATTTTAGAATAGATATACCTTTTATAAAGGATTTTTATGATTCATAGTATATAGCCAACTACGGAATTTCATTTTTCCTCTAAGTATATATTTATAATTTTATAATAACTTAGATTATAGAATTGGATAATTATATTATCATCGTATGGAGGTGGTCCGAAAGGCTGCGAATAGTGCGGCTGCGTTGGGGAGAGTGATGCCGAACATTGGAGGGCCCAAATCCGAAAGGAGGAGGGCCTTACACGGTGTGGTACAGTCTATCGTTCTCTACGCAGCACCAGTCTGGAGCGAGGCGGTAGAGATAACGGCTTATAGGAGTCTTATGAAACGAGTAGACAGAACAAGTCTGTTGCGAGTGACATGCGCCTACAGGACTGTGTCTGCGGCAGCCTTATGGACCATCACTGGATGTGTTCCGTTGCATGTTTTGGCGGTGGAAAGAAAATAGCTTTATGAGAGAAGAGGCCCAAACCTTACCGTGGCTGAGAGAAGACAGGTAAGGGAAAGGTCAGTTGAAAGATGGAAAGAAGAATGGAACAGTACAGAGGATGTGGCACAGTGGACGAAAATGCTGATCCCTAACATAAGAGTTTGGGTGGACTGTGACCACAGGCGATTGGATTATTTCCTGACGCAGGTGCTCACAGGACACGGGTGTTTTAGGGCCTACCTTTATAGGATCGGTAAGGCTGATACAGATGAATGCCTATATTGTGGATACTCGGACACTGTGACACATACGATATTAGATTGCAGCAGATGGATAGTGAAAAGGAACAGAATGGAGAGAGAGACAGGTGTGAATTTTGTTACAGTGAGAGAAATGATTGAGAGAATGATTAAAAATAAATTAGGTTGGATTAACATACACAGTTATATCCGTGCAGTGATCAACAAAAAAGGAAGAGGAAGAAAGACAGCTGGACCAACGGCAAAGGTAGAGTGAATGATGCTGAAAGGTGAAGTTAGAACAGTGGGTCACACTTTTTGAGTTAGAATGCGTGAATTTGACTGTGGGGAAGGAGGAAATGCCCTTCTGAGAATGATGCCGGCCTTACAGCGGCCATTCCGCTTCCGGATCGCTGGATGACAGAGGAGGGTCTGGTTTAGCAGGTAGGCGTTCGGCGTAGACTCGGCGACGAGAGGGCATTTTAAAGTACCTCGGGAACTATCGCCGGGAGTACGAAGAACGAATCCTGCACTATGGTCAGTCAGGCGGCGTCCTGGACTGAGATGTCTTTTGAAGATTCCAGACCCCCCCTCTATAAAGACGAAAAAAAAAAATTAATTCATGTTTCTACTACGTTAAGGTACTTGTCACTTGTATCATCATCTTCTAATTCATACAATATTAGGACATAATCAATGTTTATTTTATAATTCAAGCGTAATGGATACTGGTACATTTTTGCTACCACTACTTGGAATGGATATTTTCATGTTATTTTATTTTGTCATCTGTTTTACTAGTTCCGTAATAAATATCTTTTACGAAACAAATTTCAAAATTTTCTCATATACGCAAGAAAAAGATCACGAATAAGTTATTTGCCAGTAGATCGGACTTTTGGAAGAGCAGACAACTGAAGAAGTTTTGTTACCAACTTATTACCACACTATATTTGAAAATTTTGGATATGTGTTTTTCCTCGGCGAAGACTGGTTTATTTATGACTGAAAACTATCTGCTAGGGTGCCCATAAAATCAAAAATGGACTTCAGTATACCAGAACTGAAATCCATAGAGATAACAGCTAGTAGAGTGGGCTGCAAGTCTAGCTACTCAGATCTGTCCATATATTTTCAAACACTGTTAAAAAGGGAAAATAAATTATCGTCTTCAAGCTGAACATAGAGGTCTTACGCCATTTAATTAAGAAAGAGAAGTTGGTAGATTTTAAATTAATTTTAAGTAAGCTAGGAATTTTCGAAAGTATGCTGCCATGTTATTTTGGCGGAAACTTTTATTAGCTGATATAAGAAATGCTATTGAACATTATATTTTTAATGACGATGATGACGATTAAATAACTTTTAAAAGCTATTTAGTCTAACAAATTATATATGGGAGAATTAGAAAAGAACGCATATGCGAAGAATACCGTCCTTTAGAATCAGAAGAACAAAACGGATTCAGAGCAGGACGATCCATAATAGATAGTATTTTCTGCTTATCCCAAATACTCGAGAAAATAACACTAAGATCTCCAGAAGTGCATTTACTTTTAGTAGATTTAACAAAAGCATATGACACCGTGCATGTTGCGAAATTGTGGGCAGTATTGGAGAAAACCAGTGTCCCACTAATCGACTCTATTAAAGATATATGTATATATGTATATATATATATATATATATATATATATTATATATATATATATATATATATATATATATAAATAGGAAATAAGGTTTCTAATGGTTTTCAGGTAACAAAAGGACTGAAGCAAGTTTGTTGTTTATCTCCAATACAATTCAATATATATATATATATATATATATATATATATATATATATATATATATATATATATATATATATATATATATATATATATATCGACGAAGCACTCAGGCACTGGAAAAAGAAGTGTAAAGGATGAGGCTGTCTATTGGGGATGAAACGTTATACTTGTTGCACTATGCAGATAACCAGGTAGTTATTGCACAAGACAAGGAAGACCTGGATTATATGGCTAGAAAACTAATGGAAGAGTACAAAACATGGCGCCTCGAAGTAAATTTACAAAAAACGCAGTATCTTTGCATAGGAGGAGAAAATACTCCAGATTACCTCGACTTATAAAACGGGAAAATTATGAAATGCGATCAATGTATATATTTGGAGGTAAAACTAACAAAGACAGAAAGAACTTATGAAGACATAAAAGACAGAATAACCAAAGTGAAACGAGTTATAGTTGCACTGAATTCAGTACTATGACAGCAAAATATGAAACAGGAAACGAAAAAAAAAAAAGAATATATAATACCATATTGAAACCAGTAATCGTCTATAACTCAGAAGTATGGCAGTTATCACAAAAACTTAAAGGTAACCTATTGGCAGTTGAAATGGATTTTTGGAGGAAAATCCATTTCAGCATCGGGAAAGTCTAGAGTAGAACATGTGAGAAATGCGTACATAAGGAATCAAATGAATATACAAAGATCAATTATAGAAGACATCGAAAACAACAACTAGCATGGTACGGACATGTTAGACGTGTGGGGGAAGAAAGGATCCGCCTACTTCGCTGCTACGTGTTCTCGGTCTTACTTTACGCTGTCGAGTCCTGGACTGTGAATAAAATCGATCTAAATCGCCTTGAGGCTTTCGAAATGTGGTGCTATAGAAGAATTTTAAAAGTTTCCTGGGTGGAGAAGATTCGTAACTCCACAGTACTTGAACGTCTCAGCAAGACTACTGAGATCATAAAAAGCATCAAGCAGAGAAAGCTGGAATATTTCGGACATGTAATGAGAGGTCCCAAATATAGATTGCTACAAAATATCATGCAAGGAAAAATAGCAGGCAAACGCAGATCCAGGACGAAGAAGAACCTCATGGTTTGAAAAACTTGCGAGATTGGTATGGTGTAGTATACAAGCATGCTATTTAGGGTGGCAGTGAATAAAATTAAAATAGCTATGATGGTAACCAACGTTCTGAAAGGACATGGTACATGAAGAAGAAGAAGGAAGAAAGACTACCAAAAAAATATTAGAATGGGTACCACCAGAAAATAAGAAAAGGAGGACGACCACCGACAACATGGATGCAAGGAATTTCAAAAGCAATGTCAACAAGAAATCTATCTGAAGAATAGACAGGCTTGGCGAACGGGAACCCAAAGGCGGGTTTACGCTATGAACGGGATATAATACTATATAGATAGTCTAACAGTACTTATTGTAAACTAAGAATAAATACACAATTTTCAATAATTACGATTTATTAAAACTAATCTAATAAATTATGACGTTTTAATACCTGATCAAAGTTTGACCAGTCAAGCCCCGATTTAAGTTTGCACAGTTGCCTGATCAAATTAGTCTGTCCTAGGCTTGACGAAAATTCTTTAGGCAAAGGGCGAAAATGGAATTTATTTTGGGGTTTGACTAAGTCCGTAAGTCAGACCTGAGGATTGACTAGTTAAACCTAGAACGCCGGGGTTTTAGAATTAGTCCCAGAAGTTTAGAATATACATATCATTATTTCCTAAGTCTTTTTATAAGAGTTTCGAATTTCCTGACTTACTATAGTTTATTTTACATCCATTCTCATGCATTAAATTATGTAGCAAGTTGCATTAATAAGTCTAAGATGCAAAAAGCACAAAAAATTGTATTAGTCACATTCTTTCTTATAATTATGGTAACAAGTTTAATCTAGAATGGAAGCAACGGTATTGTTCTGTAATAGTTGTGTGAAATGGAATTTCGTAGTAGTATAATAAAAATTTAGATGCAATTTAAGTAATTTTAAGTAACGGAGATTATTTTGATATATATTCGTGTTTTTGTCTAATATTTGAATAAAATAATTGTGGACAAGGTTTTTGAAATCTGGCAAATTTTGGCTAGTAACTTTAAAAGGAAAATCTGCCTTATTGAAAAACTATTATTTATAAGGAAGGCAAACTTTTGTAATCTCCAGAGAAAAGGAAGCAGTAGAGATATAATCAGATAAGAAGGTCTGTATCAGAGCCAAAAATGTATTTATAAGAATGGATAGAAGAAAAAAAAGGTTAGATTAAAAACCTAGAAAGGTTAGATTAATGATGCAGCCAATTGTAGTTAATATATTTCGTAAATAATCACATTAAACCGTAGAAACGATTGTACTAATTTTACTAGCTGTTCGCATACACAACTAAACTGTTGGTTGGCTTACTAAATATGATAAATTTGTTACACAATTTGTAAACTTATAGAAATTTTTTATTTCAGGATGGGGAGTCTGGATCAGACAGTGATAGTGAGGAGATGGAAACCACAGAAGAAACGACGAATTCTTTCGACAATCAGCCCTTCTTTAATACAAGTTTCATCGTCTCCTGCACATGTAGATAAAAGAATTACTCCTAATAATGTTACTAAGGTAGCCGCAGAAACTGAAACTCCTCTTGTTTCAAAAAGGATCCAAAAAGAAGTTGGCCTTTCTCACCTCAATACAACTACACATGCTGGTACAAGTGCGACTACGACAAATAGTGCAAATCTAAGCAGCTTATTTCCTCTAATGGTACCTTCTACTACAGTAGTCTCTTCCAACATGCCTCTTCCAGCTTTTCCTACCTCCTCTCTTCCTACCTCTGTCTCCACTCCTGCTTCAGTGACTACATCTACTGCTAGTGGATCAGAAAATAGAGTTCAAGCTCTTCCTTTGGTGTTACAAACTCCCGCTGGTATGGGATACGCTTCAACTTCCAATGGAATGATTTTGGGGTTATTACAGGGTCCAAATATTACTCAACCTCAGTTAGTAGCTATCCCCATGAGCAGTGTTACGGGAGGAAACGTAACTAGCATTTCGCCTGTTGTTAATATCGATAACTGACAGACCTTGTTGATTCATAATCGTGGTTTCGTTCAGTTCCTGTTTAGTTCGTAAAATCTAAAAAGACAGGAAACCTCTGGTAGAAATTTCTTAAAATGTTTAAGAAAATATTTTAAAATAAGTACAAGTCAAAACTTGGCTTTTACAATTCGAGTAAGTCTTTTTTGTTGACTTACAATTCGAGTAAGTCTTTTTTGTTGACTTTAATTTATTTTTAATATTTCTTTTCTATAAGTCTTTTTACGAAATATTTGTTATCTATCTATAAGAAAGGCTAGTATGACAAGTCACACTGTTTCTCCAGTAAGTTAACTATGCCACTTAGAAAAGAAATCTGAACTATTCACATCTGATATTCAATCATATTTTGTTCTTGAAGTTGATACAAATTGATGATTCAAATATTCTTAAACGGAAATTTTACTAATTCACAGTAATTATTTATTTTCGCAAAATTGCTAAAAAATATAGGTTACTGTAATTGTTAGGTAAGATCAATGACGTATAATATATATTTATTACACGTTATTTGGTAAGATACACATAAACACTTTAAAATTATATAAAATTAAGTAAAATCTATACAAGAGCCCCTTAAAGCACAAGTGGTGTAACTCACATTAACCTTGTTTTGAGTTATGTAATGTTTTACTGCAATTGTTATAAAAAATGCAGGAATATGATATTTAAGTTTTTTCTTTTTAAAATGTATTAAGAAAGGTTTGTGTTAATTATTAACTGATAAAAATATGACCATTTTATTTAACATACATTTAATATTGTTATAAAAGTTCGGGAATATAATATTTTTTTTCGTAAATGTATTAAGAAAGGTTTGTTAAAAAGTAAACATTTTATTTAACATACATTTAATATTGCAATTAACAACACTTAACTTATATAGTTTTTTACTCATCTTCAATATTGATATCTACCTGCAGTGGCCCTATGTCATGAGCATCTTCTGAAGTAAACAGATTCTCAAAATAAGGATGATGAATGGGTGGAATAAAAGGGAAAAGGTCTTTCATATCATTTTTATTCTCTTTGGTCATAGGTCGAGGTCCACTGTATAGTTTTGGTTGATCTATATTAGCTTAAGATCCTGGTCGTTCCCTTTTTTAGATCCCGGCTTTAGGTCTAGCTCAAAGAATGCCATTTCATCCGAAAGAGTTTCCTTAGAGAGTAATGTGAATGGAGTACTCTTTTTTTTTATCGAATACACTGCATTTTAAACCATGATACTGCTTGTTTTTCCGTGTCATTCTTTCTTTTAGTGATTGACTTCAACAATGTGTCCACTGACAAAAAATCATTATTCGTCATAACGGTAACCTGGTAAGGATTTTTTTTCCTTGACTTGACAATAATACTGTACCAACTAGTGGGACAAAAAGTTTGTTGCGTTTTACTGTAATTCTCGATAGAAGCAAAATCACAGTCATTGGGAAGAAAGGAATGACCACTTTGCATAAATTTTTGTTCTATGATTTCAATATTGTTGTCTTCACTTAACACCAGTTTTAATAACGTTAGGGCTATTTTCCAGTTCCTGTTTTGACCGGTACAGGTATCGCTATACATAACAACATGTTTTGCTTCTGACGCTCGTGTTTGTATGTGTTTGACTAAGCAAGCGCCAATTTCTTGCGAACCTCTAGATCCAGTTACTTCATCCCAACAATACATGAATCCTTTTTTGTTGAAAGCTCATAGCAACCTAAATTGTAGACGTACAAATTACGTTTATAGTAGGCAAATTGACATGTTAGACGTGGGAAAGATAAAGACTTTTCTAAGTCAAAAGAAAAGGCATAATAGGATCTATTAGAAGCTGATTTTTCTGTATCCAATTTCATTGATTCTCGAGCTTTATCAGCTTTGCGTAGATGAAGTTCATGGTCCTGCAGAAGTTTTGATTTTTCGTGTTCTTCTGGTGATTTTTTGAGTTTATTATTAAAAATATCGCATTTTATACAAGTATCCTTGTGAGGTGCATGAAAATGTAAGTTGAACTCGTTTTTAAACTCGTTGAACTCGTTCTACGATAAACGTGCTCTGCCACAGGTTCCTTACTTTCGCTATGAACTTTATCTTTGTATACATTGTACAGCAGTCGAATATTTAAATCTTCTGACAAATATTTTCTATTTGGATTGTGGGATCTGGTATAATGCGATTGATAACAAGGGAAGGATGCTATATGATTCCGTATTTCTAACATTTTTTCCTCGGATGTTTTATTACCAGGAATTTTTTTTGCCCCTCTTATCTTTACCAGCGGAAAATCCAAGGGATAACTTTTTCATGGCACGAGTCATCCTACGATCAGAAATTTTAAAAGTCTGCAAAAAATATTTTTTCCACACGGTCTCAGTTTTTTCCAGCAATATTAATGTGATATAAATTAGTGGCAGATTTTTTATTTTTAACACTTGTGGTCAGGCGGCAACGTTTTGGCGTCTCTTGTTTTATTAGACCACCCAGAAATGCGTTTTGAGCGACGAAAGATCCAATCTTTCAAAACGACTCAAATACATTTTTTCGGGATTGCTCTGGGATATTATGAAAACACCTTTTTCGACAATTGCAATCAGGATTACTGAATACTTTTTGTGCAACCACTTTTCCTGTTCTTTTTGTGTACGATTGCCCACAGTTTCTTTGTCTTCTTTTCTGTTCTTTTTTGTTTTCATTAATTTGCCTTTTCCGACATCGTTTAGGCTTATCTTCTTCCGCTGCATTGTCAACTGGTTCTGCTCCATTGTTATCAAATCCCCTCTCATCTTCTGAAATAAAATAAAAAAAAATGTTGATGTAACTTCATTTTAGTTTATATGTTATAAAAGTGTTTTATTACTTATTATCGAGTTTGCCCCCTGGATACGAATTGGATTCAATAAAACATTTTATTAAAAACAACTTTTAACTTAACGCTAGATTAATTTTATTGAAAAAAAAATGACATAACCTCTTACCTGTACTTGATTGATCGGAATGTGTTGGAAAATATTCATCGCCAGACTCATTATCAGCGAATAGACTTGGCTCTGAGAGACTATCTTCATCAAAAAAACTCATTTTAAACTACACTAAACACAATTAAATGTGCAAATGAAACTTAATGTATCAAAAACTAACATACACAAACACCTGTGAAAACAAAAACAGTTGCAGGAACAGTGGTGTATATCCCTTGTACTTCACTTTGGCTGTCAACAGATAGTTGACTCCAATGACAATGCAAAATGTGTTGCCTATCTACGTGGTTACTATATGAGTTATTAACTTACACCATTTGTGCTAAAATAAAATACTTGTTGCGGAACACGATTTAGACCTTAACTAAAATTAACGGAAAATGAAGTTACATCACTTGTGCTTAAGGGGCTCACATGTAAAAATATCATTTCTGCTTCATTTCCCATGTAAAATCCCATAAGAAAATGTTAAGGTTTATTCTGCCGATTTTATGAGCTATTTGTAGTGGGGGTAGAATAGTTAGTCGAATCGTGACGTATGATACATCACTGGAAAGGAGAGGGGTAGAGAATATGTTAAAACAGAAAAAACACACATTGCAGTATTTCCAAAAGGGTATTACATCATATTTCCTTTGTTATTACTCCGATTGGAGCGTGTGATGCGTTAAATGAAATAAAAGAATATAACGAATATATCAAGATAGAAAAATTAAACAAGGCAACTACCAAAAGGGCACTATACAGAGTCTTCATTAGTAATGAATCTTTAGTTACATACGTGATGTCCTAGGGCACCATGGATAGAAATTATTTAAACAATAGATAAATTTTGATTTCTTGACTTGAAAGAAGGCCTCTGGATGAGTATATAATAAACAACTGATCGAATCCTAACATGCGACATAGAAAATTAAAGGGGATGATATAATAAATATATTCAGATAGAAAAAAACAAACAAGGCTACTACTAAAAGGGCACTATGGATAAAAATAGATTTAACATAAGACACATTTTGATTTATTGACTTAAAAAAGTCTGGGTACATATTCTTTTATATTATATACTATTATAATATACACGGTTTGTGATTGTATTTCTTTGGTATTTTCCTCTGGGTTCAGCAGTTCCTCAAAGTATTCTGCACACCTCTCTACTTTTCTTGATAAGTCTTTCTATTATCGTGCCTTCTTTATTTCTGCAGCAGCATGCCATTCTGGAATCTTTAGCTTTATTGAATTTGACTTCTTGATAAAAATTCCCAATCTCTTTATTTATTATATAATTTTCCAAGTTTTGTAACTTTATTTTCCAGTATTTTTGTTTCATTTTTCTCCAGGTCAGTTTTGGTTGTTTATTTGCTGCTTCATAACTTCCTCGTTTCTGTTGTATTTAGTATATTCATTTGTATGTTAACTTTTCTTCTGGCTTCTAAATATTTTTATACTTTTCACCAACCAATGTTTACTGTTTGCTTTGTTTATTTTTCTTAATGTCTTTGCTGTCGCTTCCGTTATTATCTTCTCTATGTTTGTGTCGATTCTTGGTCAGTATCATCATTTGTAATTGTGTCTTCTATTTATTTTATATGCCGTTTTAACTGGTTTGTGATGTTTTTATCCTTTGGCTTGTTTACATTAAAACGTTTGGTTTCATTTAGTTTTTGTTTAGGTTACTTTGGAGTTTCTTATTTCATAGTCGCTACTGCGATAAAATGATTCCTGTTTCTGTTTGTATTGGAGTGTTTATTGTCAATTAAAACTTGATCTATTTGATTGGCATTGTGACTATCTGGGGAGATCAGTGTTGTTAAATATATATATATATATATATATATATATATATATTATATATATATATTTATATATATATATATATATATTATATATATATATATATATATTTATATATATATATATATATATATATATATATTATATATATATATATAAATAAATAAAACTATTTTGGATGGGGTTGGAGTCAATAAAAGGGGCTATTTGTTGACTATTTTTTAC